GCGAGACTTTCGCTATCAGACAGAAACCGAGTTACAACTTCCTCGCAGCACTCAGCGCTCCACCTACCCCACCAACTTTCACCCGCCCCCCACCCGCTCCACCCGCTCCACCCCCCCCGCTCCCCCACCCGCTCCACCCGCACCACCCACCCCCCGCTCCCCCACCCGCTCCACCCACCCACTCCCACCACCGCGCCACCCTCCCCACCACCTGCTCCACCCACCCACCCCCACCACCGCTCCCCACCCCCCACCCACCTCCCCCCCACACTCCACCCACCGTATTTGTCGTGTGCGCACTGCTCGGCGTTGCCGATGCTGCACTCCAGAACTGGGGATCGCTCGCCAAGTGATGCACGTTCACTGCTAACCACGACTCGTACAGCACTGGCGTGGCATTGGCGTTGGCGTTGGCATATTTGGCACGCCGGATCTGCACTGTGGAGGCAGCGGAGGGTTGGTATCCACCAACCGCACCTGTGCTGTTAGGCCTCCCCTTTTTTTGTGGGTGTCGAGAAGATTGCCGTACATACCCTGGCTCGCCAGGGCACGCACGGTGCAGTTAAAATGTGGACCTCCACGGAGTGTTTCCCCCTCGCTCAAACGCGTGGGTTCTCGCTGCATGCGTGCTCCGGTTGGCTCCATGTGAGCGCTCATTAATTGGCCGATGAAACCTCCGTATAATGCGTATTTATAGGACCGCTGAGCTTGGAAACCGGTAGAGACGGTGGGAGGCTCTGGGTAAGGTGTTTCGATTCGACCTCCCGGCATACGGCAGATATACTCAAGGCCATGGAATGAAAACCCTCACTGCGACAACTAAACTATTTTTTTCTTTTACCAGGTAAGGCCCACTGAGCTATGTGGCTCTTTTTCAGAAGCGACCTGGCCACAATTGATAGCGCAACGAAGTGGCTTATCATCATCGTGGAAATTGATAGCAGTCAGCCAATACTCTAAATGCGTGTTTCTAAATGTGGACGGGAAAAACCGGAGGACCCAGAGAAAAATCCACGGGGAGAGAGACACTCAAACTCCAACTATACAACAGGCTTCAGGGTCGGGAACGAAACCACGACCACATCCATACCAGGCGAGGTAGTTAACATCTTCTAGCCACCGTCACCTCAAAACTCCCAGAATTGAAAGGCGGGCAAAAGCAGCAGGTTGTCATGAAAAGGGTCATTAATTTATTTACAAATTGCACATCCACCGATAGACAATCCTGGGGGCAAGCGTACCTACCCACACCGGGGGGGGGGGGGGGGGGGGGGAGTGCAAGTGGTGAGTGGAAGAAACGAAGAGGAATTCACAGGGAGCGAGAGACGAAGAGAGGAACCATTTCCTTGCTCGGATCAGCAATCACAAGACAATCCCGGTGCTCGCGTGTCGGATTTTGCGACCCCTGCACCCAGATGGTGGAGATTCCACATTTCATTCGATCGTTGCGAGCGGTGGCGGCGTTCGGTCGGGTGTGTATCCACAGGGCAACATAACCACCGACAAACCGGTGCTCAATTTATCCACCGGAGGAGAGAGCTGATGATGGGGCCCGATTCAATCGACCCCACACACACCGCGATAAGAACTGGCAACCGCTCGCTCCGACCTCTTGAGCCACCTGACCTGGGGTCAACCTGCAGCATTTTATACTGAACTCTTTGGTTCTTTCGGTAAAGTCACGTAGGTATAAAATAAATCACGACGTTTCGAGTGCAACACAAGCAATTATCATCAGGTGGGAAAACCACAGCAAGAAAATGTTTTGCTGAAGCGGGAGAGATTCCGTGGTAACAGAGGGGGGAGGGGAGCGTTGCGTGGACGCTGGGATGCGCGGGGGGGGGTGCAACAACGCCACTGCAGCAACAATGCCAATGAAGCCAACAATGCCAATGAAGCAGCAATGCCAAACGCTGGGATGCAATTAACTCGACAAAATAGACTTGTGCCCAGCAAATAAGATGGAACAACCATAAAGCATTTCAGGCTTTACCCCGCGCATCCCCAGCTCTCTCAGCCTCTCACCGCCCCCCCCCCCCCGTCCAGCTTCACGTCTCCCTCTACTCGCGTCCACGCAACGCTCCCCTCCCCCCTTCCCCCTCCGCCCTCTCTTACCGATATAACCTCTTACCACGGCATCTCTCCCACTTCAGCAAACACAACCTTCTTGCTGTGGTTTTCCCACCTGATGATGATTGCTTGTGCTGCAATCGAAACGTCGATTTATTTTATTTTATACCTCCGTGACTTTACCGAAAGAAGCAAAGAGTATGGATCCCTGCAGTCACGAACACTTCAAATCTAGATTATATACTGAACCTTGAGTGATAAAAAATATATTATATGATTATTATACGTGTCCGTTTCTATTACATATTGAGCACACAGCATGGCGTACGACCGCTTCTATTACGCTTGGGAATAGTAGTGCAATGCGAACATTTGCCGTCGACATTGGAATCGCCACGTGGGAAGCGGTATTACTCGCACACGGGAAAGCGGAGATCAACTCGTCACGATGGACTTCCCCCAAGCTCGCGTCTCGCTCGGGGTGCGGCGAGCGGCTGACGAACCCACGGAATGGAGACGGTGTAGCAAAGGAAAGAGGTCTCAGCAGGTGGGACACGCTTGAACGCACTCGTGATCCTAAATGAGCGAAACTTCGCTTTTGGGGTTCTCACACTCTGGAAAATCATCCACTTAAGCTGCCCGTCCGTCCGCCCCGTCTGCGTGTAACGGAGGGCCATGGCAACTCTGGTAACGATCCAAAATCATCGAAGCTTCAGGGTAAAGTTGCGTTGCTGTGAGGGTTCTCACACAGAGCGGTAGTGGAGCGGGTAGCGCGCTGCGCTACGAACCCGTCGACCCGGGTTCGATTCCCGCTCACGGCTAACACCGGTGACGATTATCTGAGCCGATACTGGGCCTCCCCTAGGTCGACTCAACCTCAAATGAGTACCGGTGCGGTGTGTAAACATCGCCAATGGGGAGACAAAGACGGTCGGGTGTGGTGCTGGCCACCCAGGCCCCCTCCTGTGACGTTCTGGCCTTCATAGGTGCTCGCTAACAGCACTTGCCCCTACAGTCTGTCAAGATTATACGGGGGATCTTTTGTGTGTGGGGAGGGCTCATGATTACTCTCGCAACGAGGACCCAAAACGAAGGGGCGGCTTGAGCAATAAAGCTGCGGCGTCGCTACTCGGGGCATGTTGCCCTCGTGGGTGGCAAATCGGCCACCCAGCTGCGGTTTGTCCCTCTGTGTGGTGCGGAGTGCGTGGAGGGGAGATCTCTTCGCAACGATGATCCGATGTGGGCGAAAGCTTGGAACGCAGCGTTCGTTTCGACATTTGTCGAGGACGCGACGCGGGGTCGTAGAGCGTGGCCTGGCAGAGCACCCCCCCTCTCAGATGTTTCGTCCATCAGCGTTCTCCTTTTACAACATGCGGGGGGGGGGGGGGGCGGTGGATTCGTCGCGAGGCTCGGGCGCAGCAGAGACGCGGCGCCAGCCCAGGGCGCCGCTCTCGCTCAGCCGCCGCTGTCGGCGATTCAGCGCCGCGGTGGCTTCACAAACGGCGCTTGTGCCGTGAACGCGTTCGGCCTCGTTCCTTTTTCTCATCCCCCCTTCTTTTTCGTTCTTCCCCTTTTTTTTCTTCTGTCTTACCTTCTTTTTCTGGTCCTTTTTTCACATTCTTTCTCTATTTCCCCTTTCGGAGACGGCGCACGGCGCCCGCGCTGCTCCGATCGCCGGACCTCGCGACAATTCATCTGCCCCCCCCCCCCACCACTGCCGGCGGTTTAGATTAAAAAAAAACCCGCGGCTCGCGACAGCTCCCATGCCGCGATCTGCCATCTCGTCGTCCCGGGTCTCAAGCCGCTCGCTTTGCCGTCGTCCTGGTCCACTTCGGACGGCTTCCATCGCAGCTGCCGCCGACGTCTTAACCCCCCCCCCCCGAGCCCCGTCGTCGTCGTTTTTGTCACGAGCGCTCGAGGAGCGGCCGGACCGCTCCTCACCTGCCACGCTCGCCCCCCACGTGGCGCTCTCCTCTCCCACGTGCGGGAGGACGAGGGTCGATCCCGGCCAGCGACCCGCGCGATATCTTCCCACCGCCGGCAACACCGCGTCCAGTATCTCCCTCTCTCTCTACTTCTGTGCGAGTCGTGTCCTCACTCAAACAGCCATTGGCGATCGTGTGGGCCCCTCCTTCCATTCAGCTCTGGCCGTGGCCTTTACCGAACACAACAACAACTCTGCGTTGGGCACACACCCCAGTTTCCCCGCTGCGATTGTCCCACCCGATGACGGTCGCTTGTGTTGCGATCGAAGCGTCGTGATCGATTATTTTATACCGACGTGACTTTACCGAAAGAACCAAAGAGTACACACCCAGTCGTGCACCTTTCACCAAGGGCGCGGATACCAGTCGCCTGGTCGCAACGCCACCGATGGCGACTCCCCCCCCCGCCCCGGAATCAACATACACAGCGGTGGAAATGACAACACAGCGGAACGCCGCAGCGCCGTGTCACGGACAGTGCGCGTACGTGTCTCCGTACGTAGAGCATGTGTGTGCGTGCGTGCGCGTGCCAATGCAGCAAGTTGGCACAGCCGGTGGAGCATCTACCGGTCATCTCAGTCAGCCGACCCACAGCACCTGCAGGCCCATGAGTATGATGCTCACGAAACAAACGTTTATTCCGGGGCAGGGATTTCTGCCGACACAGCGACCGCTGCATCGGCGCCGCCACCGCACGCGGACGCCCGCGCCGCCCTCGGGCAACCAACTCTCGGCTACGGCGCTTCGACGAGACGGAAGAAAAAGAGATCAACGATCAACTCGCAGCTAAACTAAACAAAATTCCAAGGGCACAAATTATTTCGCCCATTAAATAAATAGAAAAATAGTGCGGAATGCTTTAGTGCAGCGTGTTTTTTTTCCGAGCAATAAATTAAGGAAGTAAAAAAGCCGCGTTTTTTTTCCCCGACCGCCGTCTTCCCCGCGCTAGCGCCGTTCCCCGGCGCCGTTGCCTTCCCCGCGGCGACCGGCGCAACCCCCGGCCTCCTCCTCCTCCGCCAGCGCCGGCTCCGCGTACGACGCCCGCGCGTCCACCTGGAACCTGTACAGTGCCGCTTTCCCGCGCTCCGCGGAATCGTAACAGCCGCCCCCCCCGCCGCCGCCACCGTGCCCGTCGGGCGACCGCAGGAACTCGCCGGCGAGCCGCGCGCCGAGCGCGGCCGCCGGCGAGCCGTCGTGCCGCCTCGACCCGCGCCCACGCGCCGGTCTCGTCCGCGCCGCCGCCACCGCTCGCCCGTCCGCCGGCTCGGAGCGTTGCCCGCGGATCCAGCGCAGCTGCCCGTGCTTGTAGGCGAAGCGCGTGTCGCCGAACCAGCGCACGATGTCGGAGCGCGGCAGGCCCGTGCGCGCCACCAGCGCGGCGTACTCCTCCGGCGTGGGCCACTGCGTCTGCTGGAAGACCGCCTTGAGCACCGACAGCTGTTCTTTCGTCTTCTTGGGACGCTGCACGCTCGGCTTCACCACGGCCGTCCTCCTTCCCGGTGCGTCGAGGAGGCCGGGGCACCCCGGCCCCTGGTGGCGCTCGGGCCCGAAGTGCGGCTCCGGTGGCGGCGATGGCGCCAGGGGCGGTGGCGGCGGCGGCGTGAACTCGCGGTCGAGCGGTCGGTCCGTCGGCGTGGCGCTTGCGGCGAGCGTACCGTGTGCCCCGTGCGTGCCGTGTGCACTGACGTGTGCGGCGTGCGCTTCGTGTGCACTGGTATGTGTGGTGTGTGTATAGTGCACGGTGTGTGGAGAGTGGGCGGGGTGTGTGGAGTGTGTGGGGTGTGCGAAGTGTGAGTATTTAAACTGTGTGGTGTGCGCTGAAAGTTCAGAATATGCGGTGTGTGTGGCGTGTGCGGTCAGCGCAGAGTGTGCAGAGTGTGCAGAGTGTGCGGAGTGCGTGGTGTGTGTGGAGTATGCGGTGTGTGTGGCGTGTGCAGAGTGTGCGGTGAGCGCAGAGGGTGCAGAGTGCGTGGTGTGTGCAGTGTGTGTGGTGCGCACGGTGTGCGCTGTGTGGTCAGAGTATGTGGAGTGTGCGGCGAGTGCAGGGGGTGCGCTGGCGCTGCACCCACCCCGCAGGGCCGCTCTGATCTCGCCGCTCGGCAAGGGCTTCACGTGCTCGTAATTGCCGCCGTTGCGAGGGATTTTTATTTTGGCGATCAAGCGGCCCCGCGGCTCGGGGTGCGGCCCGCCGGCCGGCCGGGCGCCGTCGAGTGCCGTGGGACGAGGCTGGGCACCGTCGCGAAGCCGGCTCGTCTCCGTAGAAACCGCGCGCCTCCTCCTCCTCGTCCGCATTCGTCACCTCCTCTGCCGCCCGCCCACCGGCGCCGCCCGGCTCCGGACGGTCCCCTCGGCACCCGTCGGGACTCCCGGCAAGCGTTGCGAGCGGCGGGGGCCGGCGCGCGGCCACGCCCGCGACATCCGCCGCCAGCTCCTCCTCGTTGCCGTTACGCTCATTCGCGCTCGGCCGCTCGACGTCAAATTTGCCGGCGCTCTCGCACCCATCCGTCGCCACAGTCGACGTCGTCATCTCCTCATCCTCGTGCTCTTCCCCGGCGGCCGCGCGCGCGGCGGCAACGGCCGTGACTGCGGCGGCACCGGCGGCCATCTCTTCCCCGCCGCCACCTTGGCCGACGACGATCCCCCCCTCCTCCCCGGGCCGGCGGTGCCGCGCCTCGGCCGCCCAGTTGAGTGAGTCCACGATGCTCATCCTGCCCGCGAACTCCAGGGGGCACATGGTCGGCAGGTTCCGATGGAAGAACCGCGACGCAGACGGCCCCCGCGGCCTGGCGCGGCCGTCGCCGCCGGCACCGTCGCGCCAGTGGTAGCGGCTGTCGCTGAACCACTTTTTGACCTCGGAGCGGCCCAGCCCGGTGGCGCCCACGAGGCGCCGCAGCTCGCCCTCGTCCGGGCGGCGGTCGCGCGCGAAGCTGCGCTTCAGCCGCGCCAGCTGCTCCTTGCTCTTCTTGTGCTTCCCGCGAGCGCCCCGGCACGGCGACGACGGCGCCCCCGGGGGCGCCGGCGCGTCGGGCGAGACGGAAGGGGGAGCGCGATCCGGCGGCGGGGACGACGAGGAGGAGGAAGAGGAGGCCGACGGCGCCATCGACGGAGAGGGCGACCGGACGGACGACGCCGCGGAGGACGCCGACGCGGCGAGGGTGAGCGGCGAGGGCGAGGAGGAGGACTCGTGCGCTCGCGCCGCCGAAACGTCTGGCGACGCGGCGGGAAGCTCGACGGGCGCGGCGGCGGCGGCTTGATCCGCGCCGAGCGCCGACGGCGGGCGGCCCTCGCCCGTGGCCGGCTGCTTGGAGGCAACGTCCGGCTGGCACACGGCGAAGGGAGACACGGGGTCTGTCGAGTGCGCGTGGGTGCGTGCGCGATGCGCGTGGGTGCGTGCGCGATGCGCGTGGGTGCGTGCGCGATGCGCGTGGGTGCGTGCGCGATGCGCGTGGGTGCGTGCGCGATGCGCGTGGGTGCGTGCGCGATGCGCGTGGGTGCGTGTGTGCGATGCGCGTGGGTGCGGGTGTGCGATGCGCGTGGGTGCGTGTGTGCGATGCGCGTGGGTGCGTGTGTGCGATGCGCGTGGGCGATGCGCGTGGGTGCGTGTGTGCGATGCGCGTGGGTGCGTGTGCGATGCGCGTGGGTGCGTGTGTGCGATGCGCGTGGGTGCGTGTGTGCGATGCGCGCGTGCGATGCGCGTGGGTGCGCGTGCGATGCGCGTGGGTGCGCGTGCGATGCGCGTGCGATGCGCGTGGGTGCGCGTGCGATGCGCGTGGGTGCGCGTGCGCGATGCGCGTGTGCAATGCGCGTGGGTGCGCGTGTGCGATGCGCGTGGGTGCGCGTGTGCGATGCGCGTGGGTGCGCGTGCGATGCGCGTGGGTGCGCGTGTGCGATGCGCGTGGGTGCGCGTGTGCGATGCGCGTGTGCGATGCGCGTGGGTGCGTGTGTGATGCGCGTGGGTGCGTGTGTGATGCGCGTGGGTGCGTGTGTGATGCGCGTGGGTGCGTGTGCGCGATGCGCGTGGGTGCGTGTGTGCGATGCGCGTGGGTGCGTGTGTGCGATGCGCGTGGGTGCGTGTGCGATGCGCGTGGGTGCGTGTGCGATGCGCGTGGGTGCGTGTGTGCGATGCGCGTGGGTGCGTGTGCGATGCGCGTGGGCGATGCGCGTGGGTGCGTGTGTGCGATGCGCGTGGGTGCGTGTGCGATGCGCGTGGGTGCGTGTGTGCGATGCGCGTGGGTGCGTGTGTGCGATGCGCGTGTGCGATGCGCGTGGGTGCGCGTGCGATGCGCGTGGGTGCGCGTGCGATGCGCGTGGGTGCGCGTGCGATGCGCGTGGGTGCGCGTGCGATGCGCGTGGGTGCGCGTGTGCGATGCGCGTGTGTGCGCGTGTGCGATGCGCGTGTGTGCGCGTGTGCGATGCGCGTGGGTGCGCGTGTGCGATGCGCGTGGGTGCGCGTGCGATGCGCGTGGGTGCGCGTGTGCGATGCGCGTGGGTGCGCGTGTGCGATGCGCGTGGGTGCGTGTGTGTGATGCGCGTGGGTGCGTGTGTGTGATGCGCGTGGGTGCGTGTGTGTGATGCGCGTGGGTGCGTGTGTGTGATGCGCGTGGGTGCGTGTGTGTGATGCGCGTGGGTGCGTGTGTGTGATGCGCGTGGGTGCGTGTGTGTGATGCGCGTGGGTGCGTGTGTGTGATGCGCGTGGGTGCGTGTGTGTGATGCGCGTGGGTGCGTGTGTGTGATGCGCGTGGGTGCGTGTGTGTGATGCGCGTGGGTGCGTGTGTGTGATGCGCGTGGGGGCGTGTGTGTGATGCGCGCGGGTGCGTGTGTGTGATGCGCGTGGGTGCGTGTGTGTGATGCGCGTGGGTGCGTGTGTGTGATGCGCGTGGGTGCGTGTGTGTGATGCGCGTGGGTGCGTGTGTGTGATGCGCGTGGGTGCGTGTGTGTGATGCGCGTGGGTGCGTGTGTGTGATGCGCGTGGGTGCGTGTGTGTGATGCGCGTGGGTGCGTGTGTGTGATGCGCGTGGGTGCGTGTGTGTGATGCGCGTGGGTGCGTGTGTGTGATGCGCGTGGGTGCGTGTGTGTGATGCGCGTGGGTGCGTGTGTGGTGATGCGCGTGGGTGCGTGTGTGTGATGCGCGTGGGTGCGTGTGTGTGATGCGCGTGGGTGCGTGTGTGTGATGCGCGTGGGTGCGTGTGTGTGATGCGCGTGGGTGCGTGTGTGTGATGCGCGTGGGTGCGTGTGTGTGATGCGCGTGGGTGCGTGTGTGTGATGCGCGTGGGTGCGTGTGTGTGATGCCGTGGGTGCGTGTGTGTGATGCCGCGTGGGTGGCGTGTGGGTGATGCGCGTGGTGCGTGTGGGTGATGCGCGTGGGTGCGTGTGGGTGATGCGCGTGGGTGCGTGTGGGTGATGCGCGTGGGTGCGTGTGGGTGATGCGCGTGGGTGCGTGTGGGTGATGCGCGTGAGGGTGGCGTGTGGGTGATGCGCGTGGGTGCGGGTGTGTGATGCGCGTGGGTGCGCGTGTGTGATGCGCGTGGGTGCGCGTGTGTGATGCGCGTGGGTGCGTGTGGGTGATGCGCGTGGGTGCGTGTGGTGTGATGCGCGTGGGTGCGTGTGTGTGATGCGCGTGGGTGCGTGTGTGTGATGCGCGTGGGTGCGTGTGTGTGATGCGCGTGGGTGCGTGTGTGTGATGCGCGTGGGTGCGTGTGTGTGATGCGCGTGGGTGCGTGTGTGTGATGCGCGTGGGTGCGTGTGTGTGATGCGCGTGGGTGCGTGTGTGTGATGCGCGTGGGTGCGTGTGTGTGATGCGCGTGGGTGCGTGTGTGTGATGCGCGTGGGTGCGGTGTGTGTGATGCGCGTGGGTGCGGGTGTGTGATGCGCGTGGGTGCGTGTGTGTGATGCGCGTGGGTGCGTGTGTGTGATGCGCGTGGGTGCGTGTGTGTGATGCGCGTGGGTGCGTGTGTGTGATGCGCGTGGGTGCGTGTGTGTGATGCGCGTGGGTGCGTGTGTGTGATGCGCGTGGGTGCGTGTGTGTGATGCGCGTGGGTGCGTGTGTGTGATGCGCGTGGGTGCGTGTGTGTGATGCGCGTGGGTGCGTGTGTGATGCGCGTGGGTGCGTGTGTGTGATGCGCGTGGGTGCGTGTGTGTGATGCGCGTGGGTGCGTGTGTGTGATGCGCGTGGGTGCGTGTGTGTGATGCGCGTGGGTGCGTGTGTGATGCGCGTGGGTGCGTGTGTGATGCGCGTGGGTGCGTGTGTGATGCGCGTGGGTGCGTGTGTGATGCGCGTGGGTGCGTGTGTGATGCGCGTGGGTGCGTGTGTGATGCGCGTGGGTGCGTGTGCGATGCGCGTGGGTGCGTGTGCGATGCGCGTGGGTGCGTGTGCGATGCCCGTGGGTGCGTGTGCGATGCGCGTGGGTGCGTGTGTGTGATGCGCGTGGGTGCGTGTGTGTGATGCGCGTGGGTGCGTGTGTGTGATGCGCGTGGGTGCGGTGCGATCGGCGTGGGTGCGCGTGGTGCGATGCGCGTGGGTGCGTGTGCGATGCGCGTGGGTGCGTGTGCGATGCGCGTGGGTGCGTGTGCGATGCGCGTGGGTGCGTGTGCGATGCGCGTGGGTGCGTGTGCGATGCGCGTGGGCTGCGTGTGCGATGCGCGTGGGTGCGTGTGCGATGCGCGTGGGTGCGTGTGCGATGCGCGTGGGTGCGTGTGTGTGATGCGCGTGGGTGCGTGTGTGTGCGCGTGGTGCGTGTGTGTGATGCGCGGTGGTGCGTGTGTGGATGCGCGTGGGTGCGTGTGTGATGCGCGTGGGTGGCGTGTTTGCGATGCGCGTGGGTGCGTTGTGTGTGATGCGCGTGGGTGCGTGTGTGTGATGCGCTGTGGGGTGGCCGTGTGTGGATGCGCGTGGGTGCGTGTGTGATGCGCGTGGGTGCGTGTGTGATGCGCGTGGGTGCGTGTGTGTGAGTGCGCGTGGGTGCGTTGTGTGATGCGCGTGGGTGCGTGTGTGTGATGCGCGTGGGTGCGTGTGTGTGATGCGCGTGGGTGCGTGTGTGTGATGCGCGTGGGTGCGTGTGTGATGCGCGTGGGTGCGTGTGTGATGCGCGTGTGTGGGGGGATGGCGCTGGGGCGTGTGTGATGCGCGTGGGTGCGTGTGTGATGCGCGTGGGTGCGTGTGTGATGCGCGTGGGTGTGTGTGTGATGCGCGTGGGTGTGTGTGTGATGCGCGTGGGTGCGTGTGTGATGCGCGTGGGTGCGTGTGTGATGCGCGTGGGTGCGTGTGTGATGCGCGTGGGTGCGCGTGTGATGCGCGTGGGTGCGCGTGTGATGCGCGTGGGTGCGCGTGTGACGCGCGTGGGTGCGTGTGTGACGCGCGTGGGTGCGTGTGTGATGCGCGTGGGTGCGTGTGTGATGCCGTGGGTGCGTGTGTGATGCGCGTGGGTGCGCGTGGGTGCGCGTGGGTGCGCGTGGGTGCGTGTGTGATGCGCGTGGGTGCGTGTGTGTGATGCGCGTGGGTGCGTGTGTGTGATGCGCGTGGGTGCGTGTGTGTGATGCGCGTGGGAGCGTGTGTGTGATGCGCGTGGGTGCGTGTGTGTGATGCGCGTGGGTGCGTGTGTGTGATGCGCGTGGGTGCGTGTGTGATGCGCGTGGGTGCGTGTGTGATGCGCGTGGGTGCGTGTGTGATGCGCGTGGGTGCGTGTGTGTGATGCGCGTGGGTGCGTGTGTGTGATGCGCGTGGGTGCGGGTGTGTGATGCGCGTGGTGCGTGTGTGTGATGCGCGTGGGTGCGTGTGTGTGATGCGCGTGGGTGCGTGTGTGTGATGCGCGTGGGTGCGTGTGTGTGATGCGCGTGGGTGCGTGTGTGTGATGCGCGTGGGTGCGTGTGTGTGATGCGCGTGGGTGCGTGTGTGTGATGCGCGTGGGTGCGTGTGTGTGATGCGCGTGGGTGCGTGTGTGTGATGCGCGTGGGTGCGTGTGTGTGATGCGCGTGGGTGCGTGTGTGTGATGCGCGTGGGTGCGTGTGTGTGATGCGCGTGGGTGCGTGTGTGTGATGCGCGTGGGTGCGTGTGTGTGATGCGCGTGGGTGCGTGTGTGTGATGCGCGTGGGTGCGTGTGTTGGATGCGCGTGGGTGCGTGTGTGTGATGCGCGTGGGTGCGTGTGTGATGGGCGTGGGTGCGTGTGTGTGATGCGCGTGGGTGCGTGTGTGTGATGCGCGTGGGTGCGTGTGTGTGATGCGCGTGGTGCGTGTGTGTGATGCGCGTGGGAGCGTGTGTGTGATGCGCGTGGGTGCGTGTGTGATGCGCGTGGGTGCGTGGTGTGATGCGCGTGGGTGCGTGTGTGATGCGCTGGGTGCGTGTGTGATGCGC